ATCCAGAGTATTTAACAACAGGTGAAGATGTAACTGCAACCGATATTTAATTTACCTTGAGTGAAAGTACTGTACTAGCAAGATTAGTTCTTTGAATTTCAGGAACATTTGTGGTCAACATTTCATCCCTATAGGCACGTTCAGTGTAGAGTCGATAACATTTCCCAGGTCCCGTCCTTCCTGCACGACCAGCACGCTGCTTAGCTTGAGCCTGTGGGCAACAGACAGAATTGAAACCTTAGAAGAGGGAGTATTTAAAATTAAATGTTAAAATTGCAAACAATACTTAGCAGTAGGTGAGAGCATTACAATTTAAGATATTTTTCCTCCTCTCCCCTGTTACTCTTCCCATGTCATGAAAAATTATCAGTTTTGAGCAATAATTATTAAAATCAAAACTGTTAGGACAGCACGGTGGCACAGCAGCTTGCGCTGCTGCCTCACAGCACCAGGGACTCAGGTTAAATTCCAGCCTTGGGTGACTGTGTGTGTGGAGTTTGCACATTCTCTCCATGGGCTTCTGTCGGGTGCTCCAGTTTCCTTCCACAGTTCAAAGATGTGCAGGTTAGGTGAATTGGCCACGCTAAATTGCCCTGTAGTGTCCAGGGATGGGCAGGCTAGGTGGGTTACTTATAGTAAATGTGAGTTATGGGGAATCTGTGTGGCATTCTCTACAGAGGGTCAGTGCAGACTTGATAGAATCCCTACAGTGCAGATGGAGGCTATAATTCTATGTTTCTGACTTTCCCTGTTGACTGATGCAAACATGAATAAGATAGCAAAAAGTAAAAGAACATTTGATGAAAAGAAAAAGTTATTCCGCCAAAAGTTCATCCCTCTGGGATTTTTTAATTTAGCAAAAATGGGATTCTGAATGCCATTAGTACCATGGTAATACCAGATGAAGTGTAGCGAGGACAGAATGGAGTTCAATTAAAATATCCCTGCAGTCAAACAACTTCTATCAAGGCTGACACAGAATAATTACTATTTGGGATTTGTTCCAAAAACAGTGGCTGATAGAAGATTACATCACAGCAAAACATCACTAACAGGAGAGGACAAAAGAGAACAGACCAGGGAGAAACATAAGAAAACTATAATACTGGTGGAATAAAAGTTGGCTTTTTAAATCTGGGATACAGTAGATGGATGGCACAGTCCATGGAGAGGGCTAAATGACATCCAGCCTATGTCTGTTAATCAAATGCATGATGTTGGCTTTATTTATAACATGCAATGAATGAAAACAACTAACAATAAATTGAATATACAGTACCTCAAATCCAGCACCCTTGGAATGGACGCCACATCAGATTTTGGACATTTCTGGGTCTTTCGGTACAAACGCACCTGGCACACAGGATAGTGTGTTGTACAAAGGACTAAAGGCTAGTAACTAGTCTGGAGCCACCCCATGCAGCCAAATTATTCGGATGAATTGTATGTTTAAAATTGTACTCAACACTGAACCAAAAAGCATCCAGATTTTGAACAGCCAGATTTGAGGTACTCTACCTGTACTCTTAAAACATAATAATAAAAAAAAAATTACCTGTGAAATTGGAGTCACCACTAGCTGGTCAATGCCCGTCTTTGAGTTATAGACTTTCTGCTTAACAAACCCAGGATCCACAACATAGTAGATGCCATCAATAGTCAGTGATGTTTCAGCAATATTGGTAGCAATTACAACCTAAACATTTAAAAAAAAAAGTAGTTACAGGTGAAAAAAGTTTAATCAAACACATTGAATAAATGGTTCTAATGGCTCAATCGTAGCGTTAATGGACTGAGAGGACTAGGTTCAAGTTCCAACTGCTCCATACGTGTGTAATAAGGGGCTCCTAAAGGGCAAGAAAGCATCTCAAAGCACTTTACATTGAAAAGATAAACTGTGCAGACACTGAATGGGCAGCAGAAGGGAATTAGCAATAGAAAGGGAGCTGGGGCGGTGACTGTTGATGGCATTATTGACAAGAAGCTTTTAAGAAAAATTGTGAAAGCAGAAAGGGAAATGGTGAGGAGGGGGGAATCAAGGGAATAGCAGTTGTACATCCAAGCAGGCACATATGTCGGAGTAAAGGGAAACAGGTAAAAAGATGGTAAGCAAGCACTGCATGACAGAGACAAAGTCTTGAGATGAAGAAATGGGCCAATGTTCTAGTAATTTTACTCAATAGCTAACTGAGTAAATATTCCCTCCGTGAGTAATTGCACTATTGATTAATGCAGACGAGGAGAACCCATTGCATCTGTGCAAAGTTAGCTTTACTTCTGTAAAATGATGATAGAAGGAATACATGGATTGGACGGGAAAAAAATAGAAATAGCTAGATTTGTAATCCTGATTACTATTCACCCACTACTGGAAAGCCTGACGATTGCAAATTTGAAGAGATGGAAGGATCTGGCTATAATGATCTAGTCTGTCAGTGCTCACTGTTCAGACTCATTCAAACAATAGACATAATGGAAAGGTATTTGCTTGCTTCTGCTAATGCAAAATTAACAAATAAATACATTAATAATTGGAGAAGACTTAATTGGCTGGTGGGAGTGAGGGAAGAGAGGATAATGATGTAGAAAACAACCTCAGTTCAGTGGTAGCATGTTTGTCTCAGAAGGCTGTGGATCCCTGCACCACATCCGAGACTTGAACCCTGATCAAAGCTGACAATTCAACTCTCTGGCACCTGACCCTCTAGGTCCAAAAATACCCACATGCTGAAGTTCCTCGTTAAAGTTACTGGTTAATGATCAGGAACTCTGATTTACACTATTTCCTATTCCGCAAATCCTAGAACATGGAGATATTTCTTGGCCATTATTTGTCTCCCATGCAAGGATAGTTCTAGATAACCTTTCCACAAACACGTTTTAATTCTATGATGCATTGGTTTCAGTTATTTTGTAATTTATGCAGTAACAAGTTGTGGTTAATACTGTACTCATTTACCAATACTGGTACATTTGTTGGTAAATCAGTAAATAAAGAAATTATTTAGAAAAACATGCATTTGTATTTCTCTTGCTATCCTTAGTAGTACAAAATGCTTAATGTCACTGTTATAGCATAAGCAATTGTGGCAGTCAGTTTATGCCCAGCAAGGTAGTCAAAGATCAAATATTCTGTTTATGTTATGCTGCTTCAGAGATAAGCTTTGACTAGAACACTGGGACGATTTAAATAATTCTGCACTGGGCATATTATTTCACAAATGAAATGGTAAACCAAAGTTCCATTTGGCTATTCAGTGAGTGTACAAGATCCCATAACATGATCCCAAAGTGCAGGGGAATTTCAAACCCCATCCAATCCACAGCTCACCATGCCCTCCCAGTCTCAGGTCACATAACAAGCAGCCATTTGAACAAAATAATGAAGGGCAATTAATACCTGTGAAATTGTAACCCTTGCACCCCCACCCTAAACAACAACAAAGACAATGATTCAGACTTTACTTTTAGTTCTAGTTTAAATATATTCTTAAACCCACCCAAATAGCTTCAAGTTAAATGAAACAAACAGTAGAAAATGCATTAGGTTATACAAGTTAAATGCTTACTATATATTCAATCCTAAATACATTAATGAATGTTAAAGGGAACACTGATTGGCATATAGCTACATGATCCTTGTATATTATTAAAAATATTCAGTAGTATGTTTAAATGTAGCTATCAATAGAGTTATGTTAGGAAAGGATTTTTATTTGAAAAAGAGTGATGACAGCTTTATATCATGCAAGCAAGAAATCTACTGAAGTTCCACATATACTTGTTTTTTTGACTAGAGAACATGTAAAAGTGTCAAAGACAAGACAGTGGCCAATGATTTAGCTCAAATTTTACTGAAGGAATTGACCACCCAAATTCAGATCATTTTGTTTTAGTTCTAGTTTAAAATATACTCGTAATGCTACCAAAAGACATTAAATGAAACTAAATTTCCTGCCTAACAGTAGTGAGCATGTCGTTTTACCTTTCTGCTACCAGGAGGGGCTGGATCAAAAATTCTGGTTTGCATCTCACTTGGCAAAGCAGAATATACAGGCAGAATAATCAATTCTGGCACATCTGGTCCCATGGATTTCATTCGTTCATACAGAATCTCGCATGCAGTGTCAATTTCTTCCTGACCAGTTAGGAAAACGAGGATGTCACCTAAATTGAAAATAATTTTAAGTTTTAAAACTGCATTGAAATTTTCATAGGCATAGCAAGTCTAAGTCTTGGAGGAAAAAAATGTTTACAAACCACAGGATAAATGAATTAAGTATAAAGCTTCAATATTAAATAAATGAAGAAATGAGACATTAAAAGTGAAGAATTAAAATTTTACACATGTAAAAGTTACTTGCAGTGTTGGGAATATTGTTTGGAAATAATTCAGACAACTCACTGTTAATAATTTTCTCATGCTTGAAAATAAGTCCTATGTTTACCTGGTGTGTTTCATAGATAACTATCCGTCAAATAAACCAACATCACACCCTTCCATGTTTCTGAATGGCACATCTCCCAGTGAGATACTGGTGTAACAATATTTCTGTAGGAGCAAGGCAACTCAGACAGCACACTCCTGATTTCACTGCTTTATTGCAGATGTTGGTGTAAGTTGCTGTCTAATATGCCTAACACCATCATTGTTAATTTTTGCCATTAAACTTGAGCAAATATCAAGTAGTTTTGTCTTGCGATTATAAATAAGTAAATTTAATCAGGATGTTTGTAACACAAAACCTTTACTCAAACTACTGGAAGATTAATGACAATGCAGATCAAAAACACTTTCTGTATAAAAAATAAAACTCTCTTATGAGAATGATAAGTCTAAAGTATGATAGTCTTTGGAGTACTTCAATGAGAAATACCTGGTGGTTCTGTTAAATGAATCTGCATCACTGTAATCAAACTAGCATCCAGATAATCAGTCTCAGGTTCTTTGGTATAAAGCACTTCCACAGGGTATGTTCGGCCAGGAATCGTGAAGATAGGTGCCTCATAGAAATACTGAGAGAATTTAACTGCATCCAGTGTGGCTGATGTTACAATCAATTTCATATCAGGACGTTTTTTAACAGTCTATGAAGAAAAAAGTAAACAAATGAGTCAAAATGGTGAAAATCTTTCTCCACTGCACTAAGTAGATATATTTAACAGACAGCAGGGACAGGAGCCAACTCTGCTAACGATAAAAAGCAGTGCTTCCACTAGGAAAAACATTAAAATATTTCTTTTTACAGTACAAGTAATACTGATCCAATGCATTTTTTTTAGTTAAGCAAAGTTGAATTGAGAAAATGCTGAACTATTAAATCCTTGTACATTAGAAATAGACAACTGACTGAATTCAAGATTGTAATCTAATCAAGGTTGAGAGGAGGATCATAAAATCAAACTTCATTCTCAGAATTTAGAATGTCATCTGAATCTCTTGATCAGATTAGTTAAATAAGTCACTTCTGCTTGTTATTGTTCTACAAGTCACATTCTAAATATCGTCCTTCGTGTCCAGTATTCAGAATAAAATACCATAAGCCGGCAAATTGATTCAACATGCGGCCAGTTCAAACTGAGATTTTTAATATGCCATGCTCAACATTTTAGTGTCAGTGCAACAGAGAAAATATTCAAAGACAGCTTACCTTTTTCAGAAGTCCAAACAGAACATCAGTGTGAATGGTCCTCTCATGGGCCTCATCCAACATGATGATTGCATACGGAGACAGGTCAGGATCTATGAGGCACTCTCTCAGCAACATACCATCAGTCATATACTTTATCACAGTCTCTGGACTGGTGCAATCTTCAAATCGAATGGTGTAACCAACCTACAATATGCAATAAAAAAGTGAAAAAGATTGCTCTCGCACAATTCTAGTTTCAAACCTGCTATCACCAATTAGTCCTTTCACAGAGTTTAAAGTCATATATAAAGTTACAAAACACACCACAGTCAAACACATATAAATTGAAGAACAAAACAGAAAAATGTTGGGTTGAAAACGATTGTAAGGAAAAATCTCTCAGCAATCTGATCTATACCATTAATGCAGCACACTGTTCGTAAACTCAATAATGTCACAATGCATTGTGTTGGGTGGGTGGCCAACTATTTGGGGAAACGCATGACTGGTAAGTGGTATCTTATTGTCAACTGAACCTCCCTATTTTGCTAGAACTTTACAATGTATTGTAGATAAATGGTAATGGACATAATTACTCTGTGATGTTATCATCGGAAAGCTTTTGAATAGTTTAGTCTTCGTGAGCTGTGCACATCATTGGCCAGCAGGGGCTGTTGTATTTAATACATTCCCATAGATTTATACAAATCTTAAGCTGTAGATTCTAAAACAGTCAGATTTATAATGCATCATCCAATGATCTAACAATGCTAATGAAATGGGACATCCCTAATTTCAAACCACCCAAGTTCAAACCTAGAGAAACTAGCTATAAAAGGGAAACAAAAAGATTCATTTGGGTATCATGGGCTGGGTTTTTCACAGCACAATCCTATTATTAAGAGAGGGTTTCAAATGTAAGTTTGAATTTTATCTCAAGTAAAAAAATGTCTAGTAGACAATACATGGCCTCCAGGGGTAAGAGAAGGTCTTATGGCTCAGTTAGTGATGCACTTGCATTTGAGCCAGAACCTCTGACTTCAGAGTCAATACAGTGTGAAGGTGGAGGAACACAGCAGGTCAGGTAGCATGAGGAGCAGGACAGTCGATGTTTCAGGTCGGGACCCTTCAAAGATCAAACATGGTCTTAAAAATAATTTATTATGACATGCTGTTACTTAACCTCACAAAATAAATCTGTCAGCATGAACAGAACAATATGAAAACTTTTAAAATGGTTCTTAAATGCGTACACCAGCATTAACATGAACAAAAGAATGTACACAAATACTATTCCACCATTTAATCTGAAGTACGATCATTCATTTTCAGCAGCTCACTGTTGAGCCAGCCTCACGAGTCAATTGTCAAAAAACATATACAGTGGAAAGTTAGTACAAAGTAGGCAGCTATTTCAGCTTACCTCTTGACCTAAACAGCATCCATACTCTTCTGACACTCTCTTAGCAACTGACATTGCAGCTACACGTCTTGGTTGCGTGCACCCAATTTTTCCCCGGGTTGTGTACCCTGCCTCTGCCAAGTACTGGGTGATTTGTGTAGTTTTACCAGAACCAGTTTCCCCAATGACAATCAGGACTTGGTTGTCATGAACAGCCTAAAGAAAGGAAATCATTTCATTACTGGAAAATAACTTACAAAATGGAAAGAACATTCAGGTTTTGTTCAATTTCTAATAAATTGATTTCACTTTTGAAAAACGTACACTAGAATCAAAACAAATAAATTTATTTTAAAAAACGTGTGGAATATTACCAGAAACTGTGTTGCATAATATACCCGTAGGCAATTCGTTTGATATAGGATCCCTGCTAATTACTATGTAAGTCTGAATAGACAATGCCCACTTAAAACTAGTATATTGACTTCGAAGAGAAAATTACTATCAACAACACTAATATTCTGTGGTATCTCTGCTGCAAGGATTTAACCAGTTCCAATGAAAGGTCATTGGCCTGAAATGCTGATTATGTTTATTTCTGCCTGGACTGTTAAGCATTTTCAGTGTTTTCTGTTCTTATCATAAGAATTAAATGCAATAGTTTTAAAATCGTATCAGGAACTAGTATGAACACGACCACCTCTATCTCCAAGTCATACTAAATATATAACTGATTGTTACTTCTTCATGCAGATGTATTCTTAAAACAGCTGAAGAACAAAACTGATTACATAGTCTAAATGATAAACTTTTCTTTGAAATATTTCAATCAAGTTTCCCTTTTGGATTTCAATTGTTGGCAACAGTATTTTAAACTTAGTTTCCAAGGTATCAAGTTTATAAAGCACCACGAGTTTGAATAGTTCAGGAGTTCTACTTCACAACTGAAACATTTTCAGAACAGAACTTTTGCAGGTGTTACTGAATGAAAATGTCAGGTTCCACAATAAATTTGATCCATGTACTCATAAAATTCTGTACCATATTTGAACAAAGGAACATTAACTAGTGCTCAAACTGCACATTTGCAACTTGTTATCAATATCAAGTACTAAGTATGTCAAAAGCCATTATCATAGCAACACTATCTATTACTGCTCAAGTCAAAAAGCACTGAGAGATTAAAGCTGCTGTATCTTGTGCTTTAAGCCTATACTGTTACACACACATAGAGATAGTACTTTTGTTTGTTGCAGACTGTAGATGTCTGCACATACTGTGTATCAGAGCTGCTTGGCCCTCATCACGTACTAAGGCTCTTCAACTCCTTAATTTACATCTGTGCATAATAGGTTATCAATTATAGCTCTCAAATGTAATATCTACAAGCTCTTTCTTCACATGCTCATTCTAGCGTCTTCTTTCTTACTGATGTCTGTCATCTGATCAATTATATCATGATATAATTGATTAGATCTCAATTTGCCACAAAATACTATAATATAGTGAATACAATGTTCTAGGCTGCCAGGCCCTACAACGTACTGCTATAAATTAAAGTAACTTTTTGTCAGTACAGACTCGATGGGCTGAAGGACCTCACCTGTACTGTATGATTCTATAATTAACACGATGCAGCGAGAGAATACCAATTACAAGTTCATAACCAGGATAATTCACATGGCACTCCCCAGTATCAGGAGAGGATAGTTACACTCACAGTTGTGCCAAATAGCAGAATAAGTAGCTGAGTAGCAACAGAATGTCTCCTGTCTTCTCAGCTAAGCAACTGCATCTAGACAGTATTTAAATACTTCAAAAACAAGAAGTGGGATAGGTAAACAAGAAACACATACAGACAGACCAATGGTTAAAATACACTGAATTGGCAAAATTAAAGTGATCTAACTCAAATGCACTGATATTTCTGACCTTCTTTCAGTGGACTATATCGTCAATATCTAACTGTCGTATTTTAAATTGGTTAGGGATTTAAACAATACATGATACATATTTTAATGGATTTAAGACAGTGGTGCTCACTGCATGTCAAAGCTTTACATGGTACAGGGTAGAGAGGAGATATAACATTACGTAATGATCATAGCCTGCAATAATGGCAACTGTGGAATGGTTCACATATAGAATTTCCTTGGTAATGCCCGAGGTCAACTATAAATGTTAGAAAATATAATGAAAGAGAAACTTGTGCAAAAACAAATCTTCAGAATATGGTCAAAAAGATTAGCACAGTACGAAGGAAAACCGGAAGTGAGGCAATCCATCTCAACGGACCCCAGAGTTTAAAAATGAGGCAGGAAAACACACCGAAGCTTCATCAGAGGCTGCACTGAGGATGTTACCCAGAATGGTAACGAAATGTCTGCGAAACAAGAAACCAGCTCGGCGAGCCAACCAACCTCAACAACCTCAACACCCACAACCCGAGCTACAAATCTACTCCAAAACCTTAGAGATTAGCACATTGATGTATTAATTTAATACAGTTTCTCATACCTGTACCAGCTGCTCCTTAAGTCGGTAGATGGGTAGGCTCTCTCTCTGCTCAAGAATAGACATTTGGGTTTTACGACCATAAGATGCCTTGTTTCCACCAAAAGCATGCTTCTTCCACTCAGGTATGTCTTGGGGCATCATTCCTATGCCCCTCATGTTTGCTGCAATCTGTCGGCCATCAACTAGAAAAGAAAGCCACATGAGTTTTGGACTGCATCTTTCAGGTGCTTTCTGCAATTGGTGCAATAAAATTGAAAATGCATTACTCTCAGTAATACCTGATTTTAGGTTAGGAGGGGTGAACTAAAAGGTACAGTGATTGTAACCCTTCCTTCCACATTAAAGATCAGAATTTAGATCCAGTCAGACTAATATACTGGAACTCGTCGCAGTTTGAAGGCTGTGGTGGTCTAATATGAAAATAGTTCAGCCAATTTTACTTGGGCCACTGCACAAAACTGCCATTATTTTGAGAAAACTGATCACCTTGTTTGGAAATAAGGCGGCTGATGTGAAAAGCATGGCATTTAAGTAATGGAAAGGGGTGTTCAGATCTTAAGCACATTATTAGGATCAAGCATTAGAGCTTTACTGTGTGTCTATCACTGCTCTATCAGATTTGAATGTTTAAGGCTGACTGGATGCCAAAATAGAAAAAGGATGTAATTCTTTGCCAATAACATTGAAAACCAAGAAGTTCACAGAAAAAAAGTGAAAATAAGAAGACAATACTTTAAATAATTCAAGTCATTACCAACTTCAAATCAGAAAAGCTTTAAAATATTACATTACCAGTTGCTGAAAAACACAATCAGCAGAAACAAACTATTTATAATCAATACCTTTCCTTTCCCATCCTCAGCACAAAGAAAATACTTTATGCCATTAACGTACCATCAGGTAGTGGATCAACCCAGTGTTTATTGAGTCCCATTGGGATTGAGTCCATTTCTGCCTCTCGCTGTGCTTGCTTCATCTCCCGCCTTTCTTTAGCCAAAGCGCTTTGCATCATGGCAGCCTGGGATAGTGAGCCATCAGGGTTCTAAAATTAAGCATGAACCAATATATTAAAAGTCTGAGAGAACGTTTTGAAAGCACAGCATCAAATAACTAGGTATTGAAACTTTTTAAGGTCTTCATTTAGAACAACAGCTAATCCAGCACATATGTCTCAGGAAACAGTAATGGTCTCACTCTCTAACTGTCTCACTAAATTTTGATATAAACAGTTATTTGGTAGACTAAACAAAGTCCATCTGCCTGGTTTAAAATTTAAATAAAGCCTGACAGTTAACAGTCAACCAGTATTAATGGGTACAATCTACATAACAACACCTCTACAAATCGCAGTCCACTTCCCAACCAATCAGCACTCTCCTTTCATGCAGTAAAAATGTTGGCTTTTTTCTTTGAACTGGTATTATGGCAATTTGTCCTAACAAGATGAAAAGTTTCAACAAGGTGCCTTTTTTCAGCAATACTCAAGATTCTGATTTAATGTACATGTCTTCAAAATTCAAAGGAGCTCAAAGTTTCAGGTGCCATTACACATTCCACAACAAGCAAACAAGATATTGCCTTTAGCAAATAATCAGAATGAGTAATGTATATCAAAGATAAACTAAGGATTAATTTTTAATTTTGGAAATTAACATTCCTATTAAAATCAAGTAGCAAACACACCACATAGAACGCAAATACAAAGTATAACTCACTAATTCAGCATAGAAAGAAACCAAAGCAGCAAACAATCTGAATTCATTAACTGATTCTCATACCTTTACTATTTTAACAGGACTCATGTCCATGCTCTGCTTTGTATGTCCCCTGAGGAACGGAGGCTCTTCTTCCACTAGCTCTATCTCAAGGTCCTCATCTGTAGGATAGTCGACAAATCAATCAACTCTTATAAATCTATGCAAAATATTACTGAATTTTCCATATTTGACTTTTTACTGCTAAACTTTATAAATTGTCTATCCTGAAACAATCCACAATAGTGCAACATAGAAAAATACACAAGAATGCCAGAAGTTTTTTTTTGGTAATTCAGCAAGTGCCTAGATTCTGAACTGCACAGATAGACAGGACGGTTCAATTGTGGCTTCCAAAGAGGAACTGGTAATTGTCTGAAGAGAAAAAAAAAAGCAAGCTATGGGGTAAAGACAGGAGCAAGGAACTAACTGAGTTGCTCCTACAGTAAGAACCACCTGTACACGAATGTGTAGGAAAAAGGCTGTGATTTTTACCAAGTCAATACAGCATCTTATTGCCATTGGAATCAAACATGTGTTTTGCTTTCTCCCTTCACATGTTTCATTATCCACTTTCACATAGCTTAACTGAGATGTGTGAAGATGCAATAAACCATTTTATAAGAGTCAAACGGATCTGTTTTGGCTTATTGTAATACACCGTGGACAGCTTTATGTATATTGAAGTGTTCAATGCCATTGAATGACTTAAAAACCATTTTTTCTCCAAGAACTTAAAGGAAAGCACAAATATTATTGGCAGTTTTCATACTAATGAAAAATTATTAACATAATTAACATGAGCTTATACAGTACCCAGAACATAATGAAACATCCCAAGACCATTCACAGAAACATTACCAAACAAAATCTGACATGGAGCATCAGGAATTATCAAGACAGGTTAACTACAGGATTAGGTTTATTTGAAACATCTTATAGAAGAGAGATAAAGGAACAGAAAGGATCAGACCAGGAATTCCAGAGCTTACGGGCTGGCAGCCCTAGTTACAGCTGCCAGTGGAGAAACAATGTAAACCTCAGCATGAAGCAAACAAACATGTAAATGTGATTTAGATGTCAACATAATGTTTTTATGCAAGGTGTCGGTAGAAACACAAAATGCAAGAGATGAGCCATACCTTCTTCATCATCAACTTTAGGAAGGATGCCCGTTTCTTCATCAAAGTCAGGATACTCTTCTTTTGAAATAACATTAGCTGCAATCATCTGAAATTTTAATCATATGTACATAGAGAGGTAACTCTATTTACTTTCCAAATGTTCTTAAAGCATAACCAACTCATCGATTCTAATGCATGCGATGAATCAGTGCCACCAAGTGGCATAAAGAAATCATTACTACAGGAATTTCATCACTTCTTTGTTACTGTAACACAATCTTTGAAATAACACTCAAGTACTAGTTTTGGAAAATTATATTAATGAATCTTCAGCTCATATCATGCTTAACATTGGCAGCTGAGAGGCAGAATAGAGAACTATGGAGATCTGGGAGGCAAACAAAACAATGCACAAATCAAAGATAGTAGGAACTGCAGATGCTGGAGAATCTGAGATAACAAGGTGTAGAGCTGAATGAACACAGCAGGCCAAGCAGCATCAGAGGAGCAGGAAAGCTGACGTTTCGGGCCTAGACCGAAA